ACAGTGTGAAATCACAAAGCTTTTTCAGGATTAATTACTAACTCAGGGTAAAATATGACTTGTGTGACACCCTGGGTTTAGATTGACAGTTTCAACTCTGAAAGCCCATGAGACTGTTAATGCGATGTTGGAAAGCAGCTCTCTGCATCTGGAGGTCACCTTTCGTGGAGATGTTTATGCTGTGGAGGGAGGCCTGGGTGTGACGGGACGTACTGTAGAGAGGAGCGAGGAGGTCACAGGGAGAGTATGAGCATATGTGTTTGCTCGTACTGTGAAAACAGCCCTCCGGCCTCCATCCTCCTATTTACTTCTTTCATCACATCTTTCACTCATCCTAAAGCCTTTTGCTCCATTTCACTCTTTCTCCCCTCATTTTCATTGCTCTGTTCCGCTTTTAATTTCCTGCGACTCTCTCCTCCCCCTCCCTCTCTCCAGCCATGACTCAGACTGCACCTTTGGCTGACCACCAACTCCTTAACATGCAGACTGCAGCACTCCTGCTCAAACCCTCCATCCACTTCTGCATCAGAGAAACAAACACACCCAGCCGGAGATTGCTGCCTTATGCTGATCCTGCAAATCATATGTGACCCTGGACCACAAAACCAGTCATAAGGGTCAATTTTTCAAAATTGAGATTTATACATCATCTGAAAGCTGAATAAATAAGCTTTCCATTGATGTATGGTTTGTTAGGATAAGATATTTGGCCGAGATACAACTATTTAAAAATCTGAGGGTTCAAAAAAAATCTAAATACTGAGAAAATCATCTTTAAAGTTGTCCAAATGAAGTTCTTAGCAATGCATATTACTAATCAAAAATTAAGTTTTGATATATTTACGGTAGGAAATTTACTAAATATCTTCATGGAACATGATCTTTACTTAATATCCTAATGATTTTTGGCATAAAAGAAAAATCGATAATTTAGACACATATACATAATGTTTTTTTTTGGCTATTGCTAAAAATATACCCAAGCTACTTAAGACTGGTTTTGTGGTCCAGGGTCACATATATTATACAAAATATATCTAAATATGTTGTTGAATCAGCGCAAACTTCTTAAGGCCTGATGGTCTTGAAACCCCGCCTAAGGATATGTAAATGGATATTAATTTAAGTTTTAGTAATACAGTTATGTGCTTTTGTTATGTATTTATTTTACTATTTAGCTTTATTTCAGTTTTAGTAATTTTAGTCCTTCAGCTTATTTTAAGTGTTATTCAGTTTTACAAATTTATATTTTATTTTAGCTTTATTTTAGGGATGCATGATATTGGATTTTGCCGATATCTGATATGCCGAACTCATTTTGGCCAATTTGGCCGATACCGATACATATTTACTTTTGTTTGGAGACGACACCAAGTCTCTCCTGTGCAGAGATTATAAACAATTTTTTATTTGTTGTGTGTAATTTTTTTGTGATCTTATTGCTAGCACACCTCGATCACATGTATGTTATTAGTCTTATCGGCAGAGCATATCGGCATCATATCGGGCCGATGCCGATATTTGCATTTTAAGCCTTTATCAGCCGAATGACGTTCCGATAATATTGTGCATCCCTATTTTTATAGTTGTAACATAAACAACATTGGTCTAACCTCTGATGACTTTTAGAATGTTCTGTCTTTCCCAGAAAGCTTGGTACTAATTTGGTTAAGTGATGTAATATGCTGGTGACGGCATTGCAAGGGTTTGTACTCGCTAGACTCTGTTTACCCATCTATTTACGCAAATAACCTTCAGCCATATTTTGGCACTAGAAGATGTTTTGTGCTCATGAGAACCATTCCATGGTTATGGCACACTATAATTTCCTTTGTTTACCTTGTTATACCCTCCTTTAGAGAGCCCAGGCTCAACAGCTTAACTGTATTTAACACACAGATGTTCTTCAAACTACAGTTCCCACAAACCATTGTAGTCAGTGGTTTGATAATGAAAAGCTTTAATAACAGCACTCTTCCAGATGGGAGAGGACTTTTTTGGTATGAAAATAAGAGGGTTAGCAATGAAAACAGCTGCTCCAAACAGTCTGCTCGCCATCTGAGACACAAATTGGTCTGCCAATCCCAGCCAATCAGATATACAGTGGGTTTCGAACATGAACGAGGGTGTTGAAATGTGACCTGCTTCAATCCGACGACGAGCACGATATGAATTTTTGGAAGGAGACTAAACAAAATGAGCACTGGCACTTTATACTGCCTTGGCCGCAATTTGCACAGTATCTTCTTCACTAAGATTAGATGTGGACTGTAAAATGAGTGGAATTTGGAAGGGATTTAAACCTCGATCCTTGGCTTCAAACATTTCCCACCAGCCACTCAAACGGAATGCTAATCTCCATGCCTCGTGGGTGCCATAGACTTGCTCTTTTATGGTTTCTCAACAGGCAGATAAACAGACACCTAAGCCATTTGGTTTCAAAGGTCCTCTCCAAGACACAGCCTGAGTGGGCTGTAATCGCCTGAGAACACGGTCTGAACGCTTTCCGTGCTCGCCGGCATTATTTAAACCACCTCGTCATTCCATGGGAAAGATCCATTGCCTTAGTAACACGTACTCATTATGGAACACAACACCTCATGCATAATGCAGTAAGAAGTACATTAATATTCATGATTAAATCCCCTCCCTTTTCTCTCTGGCATGTCTTGGACACTAGAAATGTGAGTGGAGTAGCTTTTGATCACAAGATGATAAGAAATAGTCTTTGGGCATGTTTTAACACCGATTGTTCAGAGATGACATCCCTGTTGTTCTTCCAGTTCCCTTGAAGAGCCATTCTGCTTTTAACCCCTTCTTTTACTATCCAATTTGTCATTTTTGCGAGTACAGTAATGGTTTGAAATGACTGTTAATTGGGTTGATTTCCTCTTTTGTTCCATCAACCGCCACATTCGGCGATGGAACAAAGCAAGACGTGTTAAAACGCTCGAAAGCCCTCAGTGTTATGGAGGTTGGTCACCGCTTCTAAAGATTAATGATGCATTACGGTTGATCATGATCGAGATGGAGACGGAAATAGGAGCAGCTGCATTATGAATTAAAGGCCTTGAGACCTTCTCTTTCACATCTCCTGGGTTTATCACCCCTGCTTTTATCGGTCATGGTTCAGAGGTTACGCCTTCTTTGACACTTGCGACGCTTTCCACTCGCCTCATAACATGACGAAATGACCAAAAGCACCTTTGATTCAGTGTTTGCCTCTGAAATGAAATTGAATTTGGTTTAATTATATTTAGAGGAAATGGCCCTTAGCCTTATGGGTTATTCTAAGGGAAATCTCTCATCATGCTGATCAATATGTAATATATCATATGAAATCAAGAGAGTTTCTTTTTCCATTAACGCTGCTTCCTGCTTAGAATGGACTGTAAAGTTATTTGATGTATGTTGATAAGCAGACGTTATGTCTTGGGTAAAGGTCAAAGTGATGGATCAGAGTGCTTATAATTAGTGCAGGCATTGGGGAATTCATATGCAATCTTTTTCTTGTAGTTTCAAGTTTGTTTTATTTCTATAGCACATTTAAAATCAGCAAGCACGGCTGACCAAAGTGCTGAACAAAACGTAAAACAAAAGCACAGGGCAGATCACATATTAATAACACAAGCTCACAACGAATTGAAAGCCAAAGATAAAAAAATAGGTTTTAAGAGATGTTTTAAGAGCAGTTATAAGCCGGGAGGCTGTTCCACAGCCTAGGGCCAGCAGTAGCAAAAGCTCTATCCTCTCTATGCTTTAACCGTGATCTGGGGACAGAGAGCAGTCTAGGTTTTCTCAGAGAGAAAAGGTTTAATCTTGGAGAGAAGACGTAACGGAAAAAAAACAAGAGCCAATCACCGCATTTATTTGTTTGTCGAATTTGAGGCTACAATCCCAAAACACACCTAAATTCTTAACGCAGGATGAAGTAAAGGAAGCAAGGTAGTCCAGGTCAATACTTCTACTCCCAGAGTTTTCATGGGGACCAAAGTCTATAACCTCGGTTTTTGATTCATTTAGAAATAGAACGTTTTGAGAGAACCAAGTTTTCACTTCATCTAGGCAAGCAAAAAGAGATTTCACAGCAGTATGTTTATTGCGATTCAGGGGTAGATAAATTTGGGTAGGCAGTGAAATGATACACCATGCTTTCTAAAAAATGGAGCCCAAAGGAAGTAAATACAGGGAAAAGAGAACAGGTGCGAGAATTGAACCCTGTGGCACTCCACAAGAAAGTTGAGCCGGCGACAAAGAAAAGTTACCCAGTCTGACAGAAAAACTTCTATTAGTTAAAAATGATTTAAACCAATTAAGGAGAGTTCCCTGGATGCCCACATAACATTCTAGTCGGGATAAGACAATATTATGATCAACTGTATCAAAAGCCGAGGTTAGGTCTAAAAGTACTAGGATCACAGAGTCGCCAGAGTCAGTCGCTAACAGTGTATCATTAAAGACCTGTAATAAAGCAGACTCGGTGCTGTGCAGAGACTTAAAGCCAGACTGGAAGGTTTCAAAAAACTGATTTGAGCTAAGAAAAGACTGGAGTTGAATAAGCACAGTTTTTTCCATGACTTTGGTAATAAAAGGAAGAGTCGAAATAGGCCAAAAATGATTGAAATGACTAACATCAAGTGAAGGTTTCTTGAGAAGAGGAGTAACAGTAGGAGTAACTTTAAGGCTATCTGGGATAGTTCCTGAACTTAAACATTTATTCAGAAAAGACAACAGACTGGGTCCAACCGAATCAAAAATTTGTTTCAAAGTACGTGGAGGGAGAACATCATGGGAGCAAAAAGAATGTTTCAAATGGTCAATCATTTCTGTGAGAGACTGGAGAGAAACTGAGTCAAAAACGCACCATGTGGCTGAAGAACAACGAGACTCAGGCGATACATTAGCAGAAGGCTGCAGATGAGATCTCAAAAGTAGTTTAAATATGTGCCATTGTAAGTTCAGTTGATTTACCCTTGTATTTGTTCTTTCTTTTTCGCCAGTGTTTGCGGACGTTAGTTGGCCACACCGGCGGGGTCTGGTCCTCTCAAATGCGAGACAACATCATTATCAGTGGCTCCACAGACCGAACGCTGAAGGTCTGGAATGCAGAGTCGGGAGAATGTATCCACACGCTGTACGGTCATACCTCAACAGTGCGCTGTATGCACTTGCATGAGAAAAGGTAACATCTACCGCCTTCCAACCAAAGGCCACTTTACAGCCAGATGCATATAGATTACACCACTGCTAGGAAACAAGCCCTTTACTGCTTTGTTTACATAATATGAATAACTTTAGGAATAAAAAATAAAAACAATAGGGGAAAAATTAAACAAATAATTGTCTTTTTTTTTTTTCCATGAAAACTGTACCAGTAAAACTGATTAAAATGTGTGCACACACGTGTACTGAAGGTGTAAGGAAAGTGCTATTGTCATTTCTATTCATTCATCTTATGTCATCAGTGAGTCAAAGTTTAACTATTGTTGAAAGTGGTTCAAAACCATATGAAACCAACATGAGTGCAAGATTTACTTGGTCAAAGCATTTAAAGGGGTCATATGATGCTGCTAAAAAGAACGTTATTTTGTGTATTTGGTGTAATGCAACTAGAGTGAGCGGAGGCCGGCTTGAGTGAGCGGATATCGTCCTCTTTTGGAAGACCAAACAAAGTAGTTTCGCTTTCACAACGAAACACACAGCGTCTTCACAACATGGCAGCGGAGGCAACAGCAATAATTAAAGTTACGCCTTATTTCTTTGCGTGAACATTTGGGCGGCGTTATGCAAATCTTCCCACATCGTGATGTAGACGTGTGGGCGTGTTAGAATGAGCCGTTTTAGGTAGGCTTGGTTGACTCAACTTTTATAAAGAATATCTTTGAGACTTTAGTCTTTGCAACTTTACAGATCTTCTTTATGCACCAAGAGCTTGTAACACTCCAAAGAGAAAGGAACAATTGAAATCGCATCATATGACCCATTTAAACTAGATTTTTTGTTATTTATTGGACAATCGACTTGTCATTGACCCAGCAACTGTGGGACAAAGCATTTAGTCTGTAGTCCGTACTAATCCGCATTAGTCCTGATTTGTTCATATATCCATAATTTTAAGAGCTTTGCTGTAACTACATTAGAAGAATTTAATCGAACATAGTGGCGTTTAATACAATAACAATAGAATGGAGAATATCTGGAATTCAGCTTGTGCTGCATCTCATTGTGAAATGAATCAAATCCATGCGGTACGCAGTACAGCTTTTATTGAATTGTTCTTGGCTTTTATTCTAGACAGAGAATAACTCTGGGTGTTTAGCCACAGTTATTTTCTTATATAACATGTCATTTATTAATTACTGAACACTGATTCATTGGATCCGCTCCTCCTACAGTTTGACGGCATCCACGTGGTGAGCGGTTCGTTGGACACGTCGATCCGGGTGTGGGATGTAGAGACTGGAAACTGTATTCACACGCTCACAGGTCATCAGTCCCTCACCAGCGGCATGGAGCTCAAAGATAATATCCTGGTCTCCGGAAACGCAGACTCCACCGTCAAGATCTGGGACATCAAGACCGGCCAGTGCCTACAGACACTGCAAGGTGAGCAGAGCGAGTCTGATTGATCGCAACTAGTTATAAAGTGGATCAGAGATTTAAAATCACCATGAAATCAAATTTTGACTTTTTTTTTTTTTAATGGAATGATTTATCCATGAACATCATTTTTAATGAATGCCCCCTTGTAGTCCCTGTACACTTGGCTTATAGTACGTTGTTTGGACAATGCTGATATTTTTTGTCCTTTTGTGGAGCCTGAAAACCATTTTGAACTGTTGATGTATGAAAAGATTATTCAAATTTTGATGCATCACTAAAAAAATAACTGTAGAAATAACTGTAGAGAAATTTAGAATATTTGACATTTTTGGGCGTGTGCAGTTCTTTTAAGAGCTTCACACTGCAAAAAAAAAGATTTTCTTACTTCGTATTTTTGACTTGTTTTCCAGTACAAATAGAAGAATTAAGATACATTTACTTAAGCAAAATGACTTCAGATAAGTCTTGTTTTCTGAAAAATTAAGCGTTTTTTTTTTGTTCAAGGGCACAGAATCAAAGCCATTTATGCCACAGTATTTCCTGTAACCATAGTTACACGCTGCAGTTTGATTTCATGTCTATTGGTGATTTCAGCAATGCAGTTTGTGTGATGAGCTGCTCTATTTGGAATCCCTTGTTAAGAAGTACACTTTAGCATGCACTTTAAGGTCCAGTTCTCACTATTAACTAACTGTCAATAAACTGCTAATTAGCTGCTTATTATTATACATCTCAATTTCAAAATATTGACCCTTGGTTTTGTGCTCCAGGGTCACATATGCTCATGCAGAATAAGGCATTAAGGTGTGCTTATATAGTACTAATAAACAGCCAATATACTTGCTAATAAGCAACTAGTTAATCGTGAGAATTGCTCCCTAAACTAAAGTGTTACCAAATACATTACAAGCATATATTCAATACAGTTAAGTGCACTTCTTATTCTACAAGTGATGTGAGTGTCTGATTTCTGTTTCTTTCCTTCATTTGCTCTCAGGTCCCCACAAGCACCAGAGTGCAGTGACATGCCTGCAGTTCAACAAGAATTTTGTCATCACCAGCTCTGATGACGGTACGGTGAAGCTGTGGGACCTTCGGACGGGCGAGTTCATCCGTAACCTGGTCACACTGGAGAGCGGAGGCAGCGGCGGCGTGGTCTGGCGGATCCGCGCCTCCAATACCAAACTGGTTTGCGCGGTGGGCAGCCGTAACGGCACGGAGGAAACCAAGCTGCTGGTGCTGGACTTCGACGTGGACATGAAGTGAAGGGGGGTGAACTTAAAGGGGACTCGTTTGGAAAACGGGGAGG